AAACCTAACTTGTGCAAACTGAGGTAACTTTCCACTGTAAACTATCCACTCATTCGCCGCTCGCTAGGCAAATCAAATAGAATTCCAGTTTGTATTCTGTAACCACAACTTTGTTCCCACAACTGTGGTCTCCACAATGAATACGAATCTACATGAGTATCTCGTTTTCTAGAAGTAATGTTTGTGGTGGCAATCTGCCTATTTTTCTCTTCCCTCGGCTGAAAGATTTGAAATTTTGATGATTATTACATTTCGCCTGTTACGAAATTCACCTCTATTCATTCTCTAAAACATTTAAACAAAGGTTTGTCGGCTTCCGGAACATTCGTTCATTTTTTTCTGCCCATACTGTGAAATTTTCCCTTCCGTTAACGCCGGATGATACAGATACTTCCTTATAGCAAAAACATGATTTTTCTTGCTGCATTTCGTCCCATAACAAGTAGGGTCTCGCGTTTTCCTTTGTTTGATGTTCGATTTCCGTCTACCTGAATTACACCTATTGAATACGGTTGGGATAGTAGATACATTCGTGGACGGCAGTGAAGTACCATTTTTTTAACACTGGTGTTATACAGTCGATAGCGATGACAACACAAATATGTATGCACTGGCGATGCCAGTTGAAAACTGCAGCTGTGCGAATCCCATTATGTTCACTTAATTAATAACACAATAGAACACAATTCAGCGTCTTTACGCCACATCAACTGGTTGTCTTTTTTTTTACTGGTCGCCTCTCGTCTAGGGACTTGTAGGCTGTCATTGTCATCTATGGACTTGGCAATTTAAGGTTACCTAGTCAATTCTCATATTGAGCACAAGCTGCGAAATAAATAAAACTAGATACGTAGTTAATGTGAATCGATGTACTTTTGTATTTTGTATTCAGCTTAGGTGAACCAGCTAACAGCTCAGTGTATTGCCACTCAGTGACCTGTTTAGGGCAAACAAAATAGACGTATTCTGGACGTCGTGAATACCTTGTACCGTATTTTTTTGAAATGGTTTTGTACTGAATCTTGCAGGGAGGCGTAAGTAATGCTGGTATCTGGTCCCCATAAAACATATTTTGAGTGACGTACACTCGTCTGCAAATGAAAGTGCTGTTAACGGAATGCTCAAATGAGTCTCAGCTGAGTTTGTCGTTTGTATCCACCGCCACCTGACGAACCCTAAGAATGCCGAAAGCAGTATAGTGTAGTCGAAGAGGTTTCAGCAACCTTGTAATTTATGTTACGCCAAGTAGATGTATTTCATAATTCAGCAGTTAAATTTTAGGAGTATTATCGAAAGTGAAAGTCCGCTTGTCACGAGATCAAGTTTAGGTACGAACTGAGTCTGTGTGCTTCACTGGGTACCTGCCTTCTCTCCGAAAGGGTAATGAAACCCAGTCGCTTTGAAGTCGTATTCACCATAAACCGACATGTTCTCGATAATAAAACGGACATACCACCAAAATACAGTTTGCAAACAATAATTTTCGGAATGTTATGTTAGTCCAAATGTTTACATCCGTATTTCAGCCTTGCAAATGAACTCAGGAAACAAGGTCTCCAGAAGTTGCCGAAACGGAACGAGCATCCGTAGAAATGAAAACCCAGTAGCAAATGGAATTCACCAGACACCATAAAACTCACCCCCATTTCACCATCAAGTTGGGAACAAAAAGGAATCGATATGGCAGAATGAGCACAAAAGACAGTCCCACGTTTTTCTTACTTGAAAATGATGACCAAAACCAGAAAAATATACTGAGCTGTAAGCCAACTTTTGATGCCCACTTCATGGTCCCTTTTTCTCATGACAGAATCCGCCACTGCAACAGTTTCTTTGAACTTATCAAGTAAACCTCGAATGCTCAGTCTCTAGCGAAAAGTACTCAAACTATGGGGTGAACTTTCGAATGATACATACTTCACCGTCTGTTGTTTTACAGACTTCCGTCTCAGTCAGTGGCCATAGCCAACCAAGCCAGTGTTGGTCACTTCTTTGAGCAAAAACCTGGAAGGATCTGTAAACTCAGATCGGCAATACGCCAGTTGGAGTTCTTCTTGGATCCGGTACCCTTAAGAGGGCTTTCCTCAACTTGTAGTTTTTTATCTGTTGTTTCAGCTGACAAGAAGTGGAAAACGGGCCAAAGTAACCACCTCGGTACTCTCTGTGAACGCCATTAGACAGGCCTAAAAAGTTTGACCGAATAGGTTTGTTTTTTGGTGATGCAATGTATCCCTGTTTGAGCAAGACCGCAGAAGCTGGCACAGTCCTGTTGTCGAACCTGTCGTAGCGGTTTGGCAAAAATGGTAAGTTCATTTATAGTGGCTTTCCAAATTAGCTCTCATTTATAACAGACCTCGTAAGGTTACAAGCAGGTGAAGATAGACTGGACGTAGGAGAACCTCAAAGTGCAACCTGAGTGACCATATGAATTGCGGCTATTTGACTGGATTTTGGATTATGTGGGAGTTTTCGACGAGGAGAAAGTAAGCTGATCATCCATCACATAACACAGAGGAAAATGAATGAAAATCAGTGATGTAACGCACTCGGTCAGATTGCGATGGTTTCATTATCAAAGGAGAGACCAGCAGTTGTCACTGTCCGGTTCACTGATGACACCCAAGGACACTTCGATGCAGAACCATTAGATCTCGTCCCAGTAATGCCTTCCTTATTCAATGTCTCCATGTCCGCGTTTCTATCTCTTATTTTTGTAGAGCATGGTCGCAGACATAAAACGTGAATGCAAGCGATGAAATTGAAAGTGTTACAAGAGCATGAGATAAAAGGAAGAAACGTCTCATTCGAAGTCAAGTCACCAACGATTCCAAGCAGGTAAGATGAATCCCGATGTATGTAAGAATTTTAGTATGGAGATCCCGTGTAAAGACCAACGACCAAAGAAAGGCGAGAGAGTGCTGAGTGCTCTTCAAGGCGCGGTAAGCTCTAACACAGTCAGGACTCAAACATCAGGCACAAAGTTTCCGTCATACTGGGTCTGGTGTGAGATTCAATGGCAAGAATGTACACTCAGTGCCATGTACAACGCATAAAAGTTTCGTAAATACGCAGAGAGCTCACAATGGCAAGCAAACATAAGTCATAGACTGGGATCTTAGGAAGTCCCAGTCTAATAACAGCCTTAGCGGATTGAGGAAAGCATAACATTCGATGAGAGATGACCATCGGTTGGTGGGCCAGAAAGTCGACATCACAATGAATTGCACGTAGAGCTGAGATTATGGCAAAAAAATATTCATCAGTACCATACTTTTGCTTCCCCTTATTCCACGCAGTCACTCAGAGACTATGCTGACGTCTATCACAGTTGCTCGGCGCTCCCGAAAAGCGATTAGGTCAGGTTTGATGAATGAAGTTAAAGTAGGTGCTCTCAACTCCTAGAAGATGGTGTATCCCAGGCGACGAGACGTTTTGGTGAGTCCCTTCGCTACCCAATTATGACTAGCACATCTAGTCTCACGCGGGATCCAGCAGGACTGTAAAATATGCACCAAACTCTCCAGTTGGCCACCGTTTTCACGACAGAGAACCTTCTGGCCACCATGACCATGCTGATCGCTTCTAACTCTCGTCCTGAGCAGGTTGCATCGGAGCTGGATACGGCGGATAAATATACGAGGAAACGCTCGTTCTGGAAATACAAGCCATCGATTGTAGAGAAGCGAATCGGCCAACTCTCATAGACCGTGACCGTCAACGTTCTTGTGCAGACTATCAGCCCAAGCAGCCACCATCTTTTCCCTGGTATTTACGCCTGAACCATGGACTCAGATTGGAAGGGTGAGATCCCGAACAATCTTGCCAAACACGGGATCGTTGGGCACATTTCGTGGTACTTGGCACTGAGCAGAAAGGAGCTTTTTCATACGCGCTCTCCGCTGAATTTGGATTGTTTCACTCAGACTTGGGATATCAAGCCTCACATGTTGTTTACCAGCGAGGATGTAGCTGATCGGAGTGTCCTTTGGTAGACGTAGCCAGCCACGAATAGATGGCCTGATGTAGATGTAGTTGTCCAACTTTTGAGAGCGTTTTGGTGAACATGGCCGAGCATGAGCGAATATGTCAGCCTAGGTATCAGGTAGTTCCTCGTGATCCCCATTCTTTGATGCGGTTTCAACGGGGCACGCGTCACCTCGTAGAGCAGTTTGAGCAGGTGTTTTCAGTGGCTGAAAACCCCTTTCTCATTGAAAGTAAAGAGGACGCTTAAATATCTTATGGGGTTTGTCGGAGAGGAATGATGAGTTCCTCGCCGAAGCAAAATGGTTCGACTGAGGCCACTGTCGACCAATGTTCCCTGTCCTCACAAATCACCATCGCTTCCGTCTTTCGGGCGTTCATCTTCATACCAGAACTTCCTAACTCGACCGCAGCAGCTTCAAGCTTCACTTTAAGGCGAGCCTGACTTTTTGCACACAGAATCAAGTCGTCAGCGAAGGCAAAACAGTCTACTAGAGTGTCATGGAAGTGGTATCACAATTGCGGCATCGACAATCCAAGAACCTCATCCATTGCTATGACGGACAATGATGGCAGAGTGAATCCCCTTGCCTAACACCTCTATGGCAGTCAACCTCGGAGTTGGGGAAAACTGCCACATCATTCTCATAGGACTGTGCGATGTATCAACCTAGATGTGCTCCAAGGACCTAGCCAGATCTGGCAGTTGTGTCATGCCAAACCGGATCAAACGCTTTCGAGATATCAACAAACGCCAAGCTGAGGTTAGAAGTCGCTGAATAGTGACTGAGCAGGGCATGTAACAGCGACGTAGCTTCCAAACAACCGGCTTGATGTACAAAGGTAAACTGGAGTGAGGACAGTTGCAGTCTAAGAATTTAGCGATCAGCAAGCACCCTACGAAAGCATCGAACAAGAATGTATGAAAAAAAGGTCCGCCTCCGTTGGTCCGGTGTAGACAGATTTCTTACTTTCCGAACTAGGGTAATACAGGCACGACACAGATGTGAGGACGGCCATTACGTAGTAAGCATAGGTTGGATTACCCAGCGAGCAGGTTTGCATTGCAACGGCGGAACATCCTGGACGTGAGCTTGTCCAGGCCTGGGCGGGAAATGCCCAATAAACGGATCGTACGGCCGACTTCCTCGTCTGTAACTGGCTCGATCGAGCTCCTGGCGCCAGGCCGACCATCCACATGCTTTGGAATTGAGAGTACCTGGTTTCAACACTGTTTGGGGTCCATAAGTAAGCCGCAGTTGCCTTCGTATAGATCCTTCAATGACCCATTGAGCACAACAGACGCTGCACGTTTCAGTCTTTGGTGGTATAGGGTCTGAATGGCGGCGTAGTTGGCTCGGGTGATCTGCTTTCGGTTGACCGGCATCCGATGGGCTAGCTGACGATGGCATTAAGATACAGTTTTCTAGGTGTGTGGAAATGTCCTGAAAGGTAGAGGTCCAGAAGCGACAGGACTTGATCCGGTGTCATGCTGCTAGACTGCAAAACTCGGGCAAATGCCAGAAGGTCAGCACTACCAAGCGAATGGTCAGGATGGAATTCCAAGAGTGACACGGCGCAATCCATGGTTCGTTTATACCGGACGCTATTTCCATCCGCTTCTGACGAGTAGGCCGCCATCTGACATATAGTTTGATCGGAGTCACCAGAAGATGATTTGTCGGTTTGCAACATTTGGGTGTGCGCCCGGATGGAGCAGAGTGGATTTATAAAAATTCGCATACAATGACTGTTTGTTTGGGGAATGCTAAAAACACGTTAGTAAATCGTAAAGGAAATGTAAGGGACCCAAGCTAACTGAAAGTTTACGATCACCTGGCGAGAAACCCGGAGGGATGGAAGATTTCAGAGTAACCCCATATTTATATTTCATACTTGTAGTCGTGGTCTCAGTTGTACAGATACGTAGACTAATTCCTGTCCAACATACACATCATAAAACCCACTGAAAAATAGAAGAAGAATAAGTGCAAGCAACCTTGCAATTATCGGTAGGCGGTCACGAAAATTATTGTGAAAAGCATGATCAAAAGGTATTGTCCTCGAAATGGCCTGCAAAAAAACTGCATGTGACCAAATTTATAAAGGAAAGTGTAGCACATAAGTTAGCACAATGCGAACGGATCCACGTGTACCGAGTTACCCAAACAACCACAATACAACGAGCTCCATGATTGTATAGTAAACCTAACAGTCCGATACAAGCTGAATGAGTTCCATTCAGTGCATTCAAGCTTCGGACAATCTTAGATTTTATCGCAGATTTTCAGATCCTTAAACAAAGCGTTCTGTCACGCCTAAAACGTGTAGCATAAATTATTCGCCGATTCGTGAAGATTGTCGTAATTTGGATGCTTTGGGGGGGAGACAGAAAAGCTGCACACTACCAAGCAGGTGAACCAATGGGACATTGGAGGTCTTGAATCTCAGGTGGTTCATCTGGCTTCGGTGAACACTTATTTTATCAAAATCATTGGTTACCATCAGTGAGAATGACAATCCTGGACGGTTTTCTAGAATTGTTCCGTTGCAAATATGGTACACCGTATGAATCAAAGTACTTTAGGTTTGTCGAAACAGCAAAACGGTTTAATGTTTTAATGACCTGCGTCTCTGCTGCAGTGCTCAGGGTAATTCAACGACGACCTTAGGAAAAGTCTAAACTAAAATATCCCTCGGAATTTTTGCACAATTTATGTAATGCCTTTGAAACATGAATGGTCTGAGTGATTGCGGACCACAGTATCCAGGTCGACAGATCGTCCTTGGTATCGTGTAACATAGAGCAATCGAAGTGAAATTTGTTGAGACCACTAGTGCTGGACGATTTTTCGTGGGCTTGTTTCACAAAGTATTTAAACTTCATGACTGACTGAATAGTCAGGAAATTGATTGATGTTTGCGTTTGCACACACTACTATTCCTTCGGACCTCATTCGCCGGCCCAAGTAGCTAATCATCTCTACTAAGTAGTCGACAGAAAACAGAGTTGCGAACTGGTCGTTGGCTTGTTCGCTGAGCTGGGCAATTTGCTTGCAAATGTTTCATCACCAATCGAGGTGACATCATTAGTGCGTTATTGGGGAGCGTAGTTGTGAGTAGCGGTGGGTTAGTGGTTGTGCAACAACACTAACGCAGCCTGTGTGTATTAGGTTCGAAAGGCAAAGATGGTCTGTTTGAAACATATTCTTGAATACAACCGTAAATATCCCAAATAATTTGACGTTTTCCTTCGAATCTGAGTTTAATCCAGAGTTAAAAATAAATCCTTGACTGATCAAGGCAAAAGAAGCTGGATGGTGCGCTCGTATTTGTCTCAGTTTACGACCATAATGGAATAAGGACCAAATCCAAAAGATGCACGAAGGAAACCGGAACTTAAACAGGTGATAATTTAACTACCAGATAATGGCAGATTTTCAGGCTAAAAGGTGATTACAAATCTGCCACTGCTTTCAAGACGACCACGTTTTTTGCACTTACCTCTGAGGAGTTTCTTCCATAAATTCCAACAAATCTGTTTACGGTGTTTTCCGAGTCAATCAATGATGACAGAGCGGCTCCAAGAGCAAGAATTTCTCTCCCCACCTGAATTAAATGGATTTGCTGACTTTAGTTACGTGATTTGATTACCTGTTCATAGGTTCGCCAGTTTGGTTCGGAGTAGAAGTTAGCTCTTCTTCCAAAACAAGGAATATCTTCTAAAGCATGAAATAAAATTACCCTTTAAACAATGCTGCATTTTTTTGAAAAACTACCTACCTGAGCTACCAACATTTTCCTCCACAAAAGAGTTGCGGACTGCTGTGTAATCGTTTTTATACTGTATCCTCATTCGCTATCGTGACTAAACATGCATCATGAAAGGTCAGCAATCCAGCAGCCTGGTTCAGATAGAACACCTGTGTTTGACGAAACGGCTAACTAACGCCTTAGTCCGACTTTCTTAGCTCACGTACACGATTTCCATGCCGCACACTAGACACTTTCCAATCTACCCATTGCTTTTCAAACCTAGACAGCATTCCTCACACAAAGGAACCAGTTACCATCACACTCCTAACTTTTAGCCCCACTCAGTGATCATCCAGCAAGGGTTAACGCTTGACTAAATAACGAGATTATCTCCAAATTGCCTTATAGACAGAAAACTATTTTAGTCTGAGATAGTCTGCACCTGGGACCCATTAACAAAGGATGACATTGGTATCTGGGGTAACTTTGTCGCGTCGTCCCAAGAGGCTTGATTACCGCCCTAATTTACTTATTTTTATGACGTGTATACTGAGTCGTTCCCGCCACACAAAATTCAGTGAAAGGACACGGAAAAAATTCAACATCAGAGAAACTCAGGTGCAATATTTTCAAGAATAAAGACAATGCTAGCTGGAAACGATAGGATCGTCAATGCTAATTTACGGATATGCAAAAATGTGCCCCACAGGTCACAATGGATAGCTTTCCTAATCCTGGTGCACTATTGTGAATGCGTACGAACGCTTTCCTGGTATGACTGGTTACTAATAATGAGAATAATAAAATAAACAAGACTTCAAGAGGGAAACACAAACGTTTTGTGTCTATATTTTTTTCGGTACACGCTGGTTTGACATCTTGTTTGCGCTCATTTCAGTTGGAGTTGACGCAATGTGAAATATATCTCTTCTCATGGACTCAGCATTTGGAACTGAAGCCCAAATGTTTCACCCACTAACTTTCAGTACTTCCGGGCTACCAACCAGGGAACCACGAGGAACAAACCGTAGCCCATCGTTCAGTAAAGTTATCCACACCTTTGTCCATAGGATCAAATGACCGTCTTATTATTCAATCCAAATTTCACCAGCACACTAAAATTCATCGGTGAGAACCTATATAGAACTCGCAGAGCCCCATCTTTACTTACAAGGTTCTCCCATCAGATGTGAGCGATGAAGTGTAAACATCAACCTTCAAAAAGAGCTTGTTTGCGCGTGCCAATTGGATAAAAAACTCAAGTATTACAATCATACAAAAACGGTGCACATATGGATGCGCTGCCAGCATATTCCGTGGCGCTGATACCGAATTTGCCTGGTGCTACACCGTCCCCAATTTCTCCATCAGCAGTGACCAATACCACTTCGTCTCCTCCAGTGGTGACACCAGATAGAAATTACATTTCGAGGGTGTAGCACATAGACCAAGGAGTACTACCTCAGTCGTCATTCAGTCTAGCACTTTTGGCAACATAGTCCTACAAATCTGTCCCTTATCCCGATGATCTTTACAAGAACCGATACCTAGGCCAGTCCTATCAGGTGTTATCGACGACAAAGTTGGAAAAGGAACAATGAAGTATTATAACCTTATGGAACATCATAAGTTGAAGAAATGTTTGCAATGTTTTTTCCTAAGCCCTCACCTTACTGCCCACGGCATACATTGTAAGCCGAAAAGGATATTTCTCCCAGTGAGTCGACAGCCGAACTTATATCGGTAGGAAGACTATGACCGCTTATCTGACGGTGTTCTAAGATCTAACTAGGTACGGAAAGCCGGTCAGTAAAAACCCGGCTGAAACGAAAACCAGCTTGATTTTCTCACATCTGACCCTGAACCAACATACGCATTATAACCGAAACGCTGAACTGTGGAGCGATCGGTTTAACGTTGCCAGAATGAGCAACAAATCAATTTCTCAAAACCAGAGCGACAGTCGATTCAGCCTATGAGTGGAGGAACATCTGATCATATCAAATCCTGAAGAACAGGGATTACTCACCACCGTCGAAAGCGGTTCCCTGCGATAAATCCAAAGGTAACAGGGCCCGGAACAACCGATAATCAAACTATACTCACATGTACAAGTTCGTCCACACTAGTACCAGATTCAAAAAAGCACTGTTCGCCAACGTTCGAATAGCTTGTTTGCGTGTCAAATAAAAGGTGCAATAGAGTTTCGAGCAATTCCTGCTCGAGTTGTAGTAAATTAGCACAAGATTCCACTCTCACGACCCTCTAGACATCAATGCTGTTTCATCCAGAAGAATAAATAATTCGCCCAACAGTCTGGACAAAGTTTGCTAAGTGCTTGAGCCGGTGTTCCACGGCAAACAGCTAATCACTACCCTTTATATCGACTTACCCGCCCTTCCTAAAACCTTTATGATCCTTATTGGTTGAAAACCCTCAGTGGTACAACGCTAGCCATACAGATGCGGCTAGTATTCTTTCAGCAATGGACTATTGTCCAAACTTGTAACAGACCATTTACAGATCTCGAGTCCCGAATGATCCAACTATCTTGAGAAACTTTAATATTTGTTTACGCTGGTGCTTGAAAACGAACATATGACGAGAGGTAAAGTAACCTTTTTCCACAACACCTCGATTGCTCAATATTGGCCCATTGAGACGCATGACCAACATGGTTGGAGACGGA